GTATGTGGAGTTTTGTCATAATCGTGCGTTCATATTGTTCTCTTAATGCTTTCGCTTCTTCTGACGCTCCCTTCATTTTGTACAATAACAGCCTCCCTTTTTTGTTTTTCTGATTCTCATGTCTTGATCGAATACTCTGAAACTTTCTCGCTCTCGCTGCTTTTTTTCTCTTTTGTGTCTGTGGATTTGACCATGATCTGGTATACCTTCGCTATGTGATCAGTAAACGATAGCGGTCTACATGTTTTAATACTTTGAATCTGTTTTTTTGCATCCATCGGTGTACACACGAAGTCAATATCATACCATTTTGCATTCTTGTGTCTCCAAGTACCCCTGTTTCGTATTCTGTAATAGCTGTCCACTTTTGTGAGATTTGTTGTACGTATCCAGTTTAAAAATCTTCTCCCTCCAGCTGTTGTATTGGTCTGCATAGCATACTTTCCCACATGCGTGTCATCATTCATCGTGTCTCTTCCAATATGTTCATTCCAATCCCCAAGAATAAAATATTGTTCACCCACTTCTTTCTGCAATCTTTCACATAGTACACGTAAAGATCTATAGGCCTCATCCAAATTGGCCGCTCCACTTCCAGAAGGTAAATACGTTGATGCCACTCCAATAGAATCACCTGCTTCGGTTCCCAAGATTATTCCACATGCTCTGTCACTCGTGAATAAGAACTTCTCTCCTGCCGATTGCCATGCAATACGAGCTCCCATGCTGAGAAGGAACCCGACTCTTCCCGCAACAACAAGTGTGAATTCTTCCACATAGATAAGTTCTCTGACCCCCAGTGCACTGGTGTCACCGTGGAGTTCCGTCAAGCAAAGTATTTCCCAATATTGTGTACGCATCGTCTCCAGCAAACTCTTAAGTTTGAGGCGGTTGTCGATACGAGACCAGTCCAGCCCTTGAGTATTTACAGTCGCACATCTGAAACATTCTCTGCTCACAATTTTGCGAGTCCGTGAAACTCGATGTCCGCGTCGAATTCTACCTCGTAGGCGCCCCCGATATGTTTCATGGGGCCCTTGGCTGATACAACACGGCCGTGATGAGGTACGTGCACAAAAATGGCTGTCAGTCGACCAATGAACTTGTGACCGCGGTGCGGTCTCGGCTGCTCCATTCTGCCGACGAAAGAGATGAAGCAGCCGATGTCTCCTTACAAAAGCCAATGGTAACTTTGGTCGCTGCAGTCTAAGCTGAACAACTTGTGGTTCCCGATCTGCGTGCGCTTCACCCTGACCCAGATGAGGGAGTTACCGTTCAGGGGACCGCAGACCTGCACAGGCGGCGGCGGAAGGCTGGCGGAGTGTCGGCGGAAGTAAAACGAGGCCGCCTCCGCCGGCGAAAGCCGGCGGAAAGGCGGCGGAAGGCGGCGGAAGTAAAATATGTGCCCTCAAGAGATGAAAACGTTTTTGGGTTCAGGGTTTCCGAAATCGTTGAGATGAGCTCCGTAATCAATTGAGAGCATGCGGGCCGCACGCGCGCAAATGTCGAACACATCCAGCAGCCATCGCGTGCCCGCCAACTCTGTTAGAGTGTATTATGCGGGCGCCACGCGCGTTCGCCTCCGCGCGCACACGCTGCAAGGTTTCCGACGCCACTGTTTTTGTTTCGAAGCGGGCAGAGGTGCCCAGACATATGCGGAAACCGCATGCTGTATCAAGACCGTCTGTCAAGATTTCGGAGCTCATGCGAGCGCGCCACCAGCACAATCGTTAGCATAAGCGCCAACGTTACCATTGCCATCGTCGTTATCATCATCATCATCATCATCATCATCATCATCATCATCATCATCAGCATCATCGTCGTCGTCGTCGTCGTCGTCATTACCAGCAACATCATAATATATCATTTTCCGCATCGTCGTCATCTTCATCATTACCGCCGTCATCGTCACCATCTCCGTCATCGTCATCATCGATGCCGTCGCCCTCGTCATATTTACGCGCGCACTTCCCCATCATCTTAACCAGACAAATCGTCATCATCACCATAATCATCACCATCACCATCATCGTCACCATCATCTTCATCATCATCTTCATCATCATCATCAGCAGCATCATCATTATCATCATTAGCAGGATCATCATCATCACCATCACCATCACCATCACCATCACCATCACCATCACCATCACCATCACCATCATCACCACCACCATCATCATCACCATAATCATTATCATCATCGCCATCGTCATCACCACCATCATCACCACCACCATCATCATCATCACCATCATCATTACCATCACCATCATCATCATCATCATCATCATCATCATCATCATCATCATCATCATCATCATCATTATCATCATCATCATCATCATCATCATCATCATCATCATCATCATCATCGCCAGCATCATCATTGCGACAGCACCATCACCATCACCATCGTCGCCGTCGATGTCGTTCCCACCGTCGTCATGGACATCGTCATCGTCATCGGCGTTGTCGCCGCACGAGGATTTTGCCAGTAAATCGCGAGTGGCTGGTTGGGGTGCTTGCCCGAGCATCGGACGTGCTCACGCGCGGATGCGATCAAATTTGATTGCACCCCACAGCTTGCGCCACGTAGCCTGCACCGCATTAGCTGCAGCCCACAGCTTGCGCCACATAGCTTGTACCACATAGATCGGACCAGTCAGATTGCACCGCATATGTTGCACCGCGTGTATTGCTCCCGACAGCTTGCACCACGTATATCGCGCTCCACATTGTCCTGTACCGAACAGCGATTCGATGTCCCCCCTCCGCCGAGGCTGGGATTAAACGCACGCCTCGCGGTAGTGTATTGCCGTAACTATTCTGCACGATCGTTCACGCTAACTTTCAATGAACAGCATGCTAGCCAGTTCTGGTATCGCCCCCCCCATCCCTGTCAGATTTAAGGCGATGCACCTGTTTGACATAAGAAGTGTTTTCTCCACGGATCTGTTGCGTTATTTGTCATGTGGGGTGCATGCTTGCGCTGCTGTCCGCGCACACGCTAAACTCATGCAGCACACATGGATGGTCTGAACATGTCGAGACATAGGCTAGCCAAAGTGATCAACACCAGTTTGCGCAACACCGAATTGACAGATCTCTTCGCGCGCAACGTTGAAACATGCGGCAACAGCAGGATCGTAGCCGTTCTGTCAAGTGAGAGCATGCAGGTCGCACCAGCGCGCGTCGAAAACACTCACCAATCACCGCGCACCTGCCAACTCTGTTGAACCATTCCATCTGGGCAACGCACGCGTCTCCGCGCGCGCACGTCGCAACCCTTCCAAAACCATTGTTTGTCTACGCCTTTCAACACAGAGGTGTTCAAAGCACACGGACATCCAATGACTTGCCAATAACAAGGCTGCCATCGTCGCAGAGTTTCTGCGTGTGCGCACTTCCTCTGATCTGACCTTTCTCCGCCTCGACGCTGCGCGCGTGGCCGCGACCGCCACAAAGTGCGCACAGCCTCGTCGTCCACACCGGCACCACCTTTATCATCATCGCCAGCGTCATCATTGCCACCGTCATTATCATCACCAGCAACTTCAACACTATCACCATCATCGTCGTCGACATCGCCCCCGCCATCGTCATGGACATCATCATCGTCACTGTCATCGTCGTTGTCGCCACCCACTTGAGCTTTGCCAGCCAATTGCAGGTGGGTGGGTGGGATGCTTGCGCGAGCATTGGGGTTGACGACTTCCGTGGTGACAGGTGATTTGCAATCTCCAGATTGCACCAGATAGGTTTCTCGTCATAGATGGCACTTCGCGGGCAAGCATCCGTCGTTTCGGCCCACACTGGCAAACACTTGCTTAGTTTTGCTGTGCCAGTGTGAGGAGAATCGCGTGGCCAGCCGACCCGCTCCCCTGCGGGTGCGACGCCGGCTGGCCTCCGCTCTCCCCTCTCCCGTCGCGCCTCGGGACTGGGCTCCGCCTGGAGTGCCCGAGTGGGACTCCTGGAGCAGGCGGGGTCGGAGGATCGCGTCGCAGAGCCCGATCCTCTCCATTCTGGCATCGCCGACGCATCGCCGATGCGTCGGCGGTGCTGTGAGGTCCCCTGACCCCGGTGTACCCCGACCCCATCTGGACGGTCTCCAACGACGCTTTCGATTCGTTTCGTCTGCCGAGCCCTGCTCCGCTTGCACGCGCTGGCCTCCTGCAGGCCCGGCCTGCGTGCTGTTGTTTGCCGGGTTCGCCAGGATCTTTTCCGCTGACCCTCATCGTTCGCTGTGGTGTCGCTCGGTGGCCGAGGGGCATAAGTTCGAGAAACATCCTGGAGGCCTCGCGTGGTGCGCAATATAGTTGTGTTATCCAGTCCACGCGTCCGCCCCGTCAGAGTTGGGACGACGTTCGCGCGGCGATGCTCCGACTTCAGCCCGACGTAACTCCGACGCGAGTCTGACGTACATCCGACGTGAGTCTTACGCGTGTCCGACTTAGGCTGGGGCTCGAGTTGCCGCGCGAGGCCTCCAGAGGCACGAAGAGGGCACGAATTCACGCAAAAGGGCACGAAGGCACGAAGCTGATTTCCACAGCCTTGGCATCGCTCGGACGTGTGCAGTTTTTCTTGGCGCGGATCATTGAGGCGCATCCTGGCTCATCCTGGGGAGAAGTCAGCACGAAGCCGAAACATGCACGGGGCATGGACGTCCGAGCGATGGTAGAGCGGAAGCACGAAGTCGATTTTCCTCACAGCAGACAGCACGTGGAGGGCACGAAGGCGCGTTGCTGATGCTCCTCACAACAAAAGTTGTGGAAGTCGATTGATGAAGAGGAACCGTGCTGCCAAATAATTTCCAGATGTCTAAAAAGATGTTTCAACCATGTTTTTCGTATGTAAAAACATGTTTGACATTTTTCTTAGAATACGTTTTACACATTTTAAACACATCTTTAATTCAACGGTCGGATTGTTAGAGTGTCCATTGTCATGGCATCCACAAAACAGAAGACGCGAAGAGGGGCACTCCTCGCCAGGTGCTGACCGAGACGGCCGACGGGCTGCTCCTCCTCGCCCGCCCGCCGGCTGGGGCCGGTCGGGAGCAGGCGCGCGCGGCTGTGGCTGAGTGGGAGAGGGTCAGCCACGCGCAGGGAGTCGGCGGCGAGGGAGGGGGGGACGTGAGGCGGAGAAGTCCGAGGCGGGAATTTATCCATATCCACCGCCTGGAGGGTCAGTTTTCGGAGACTCGGCAGGCGGTGGATATGGACATATTCGGGCCCCTGGGGGCCGACATATATATATATATATATATATATATATTATATATATATATATATATATATATCCAGATCCACCGCCCGCTGGGGCACCAGGACGTCGGTTCACAGGCGGTGGATATGGATCAATCCCCGCCTTGCAAGAAGGCCTTCTCAGAAGGCTCGGAAGTCCCCCAGCTTTCTGAGAAGTTCAAAGCCTTCCCAGAAGATCAGCAATATTGGGAAGGCCCAGCGGCCGGTGCCGCCGACCCTGAAGGGGGATGGCGACGACGGCGGCGGCGGCAGCGGCGACGACGACGACGCTGACGCTAATGACACCTTTATTGGGGCTCTCTTGGGAGCCTCTTGGGCTCTGTTGGGGTGGGGCTTGGGCTGGGGCCGCGGCTGGGGCCAGGGCCAGGGCTGGGGCCGGGGCCGAGGCCGAGGCTGGGGCCACGGCCTGGGCTGGGGCCGTGGGCTGGGGGCCAGGGCCGGGGCCGGGACCCAGGCTGTGGCCCCCTGGGCTGGGCCGTGTCCAGGTCGGGCCAGGGCCAGAACGGTGGCCGGGGCCGGGGCCGGGGCTGGAGCGGGCCGGGGCGCGGGGGGAAAAAGTATTTGGGTGGTGACCACCCCCCGGGACCCCCAACACCCCAGGATCCCCCCATGACCCCCCCAGGACCCAACCCCCCCCGGGACTCCCCCAGGACCCCCCCCCTCGGAGCGGGGAAGAGATCAAAGGGAAGGGGTTTCCCTTTGATTCCACTCCGATGTTGTTCAATTTTGCTTTGGACGGCGCGTATGGGGAAGAGGGTCCAGGCAAATGGCACAGAGGAGGACGGAGACAACGACTCCAACGGAAAAGCCCGACTCGAATGGAAAAGCCCTTCACACACGCCGACAGGGTCGGCGGATTTCTCAGAAGGCGCGAGGCCTTTGAAAAGCCCCGCCGCCTTCTGAGAATTCCTTCTCCTTCTCACTTCCCCCTCGCTCGCCGCCAAGAGAGGGGTACATTCGGACCGAAGGGTCGAGGTCGGTTCGGGGAGGTTTCCCTGATGTTCCTCGTATGTGTTGGATGGTTTTGTGCCTCCTGGGGAGGGGACCTCTGGATGATCTGTCTGTTTTGGCTGGCGGAGGGTCTCGTGTTCTTGAAAGGTGCTCTTCTGGCCCAGGCCCAGCTAAAGGGGGACGGGGAAAGCTTCTTAGAAGCACCCCCCGCTTCGTAGAAGGCGCGGCCTGTCTGCAGATGTAAGGCCTGCGCCTTCTGAGAAGCAGCCGCCTCCTGAGAAGCCTTCCCCTCTGCCCGTGCACCCGTCTGCGCGCCGCCAGGAGGGGATTCAGGGTTCGAGGCTCGGGGTCTGAGTCGCAGGCGAATTTTCTCCCCGAATCCCCGAGTTACGCCCGAAGGGTCTAGCCGCTCAGAAAGAGGAGGAGGAGGAGGAGGAGGAGGAGGAGGAGGAGGAGGAGGAGGAGGAGGAGGAGGAGGAGGAGGAGGAGGAGGAGGAGGAGGAGACGCTGGGATACACCTCAAGGGGGCTATTCAGACGCACTCCTGTCGAGGACCGACGCCCCCCCTATCGGACATCTCAGGGTGGGGCCCAAACTTTCTCTGGCCCAGTCCAAAACCCCACGACGCCTGGGACAGGAGCTCGAGGTTCGAGGTTTGAGGTTTTTGAGTTTCAGGTTTGAGGCTGAGGTTGAGGTTCGGGTTTAGGGTTGAGGTGTTCGAGGTCCGAGGTTTGAGGTTCTCCCCGCTCGGGGTTAACGCCAAGGGGGGGTGGACAGGCTCAGGGGGTCCAGGACCCGTTTTCCCCAGGGCTCCTTTTTTCATGCCAAAGGCACTGGCTCAGGGGAAACGACAGGTTCGAAGTTCGAGGATCGAGGCCATTGGGCGGAGCGTTCCGCAACGCTCTCGGAGCGCTCTGGAAGACGCTCTGACCAGGCCACGGCGCCAGGGACAGCCGCAAGAACCGCCCGCCGGGTCTCAGAGATTCTCGGCTTATCCGCACCCGAGTGTATCCTCGTCTTGGCTTCGTCTGAGAGGGCATTGATCAGGAGGGGAAAAAACGCACAGACACAAGGAATCGTCGACTCCCAGGGAAATATGGGAAAATATGGGAAGTGGGGGCGAAGACGAAAACCCAGAAAATATGTAAAAATGGGGAATTCAGTTATTTTTGTTTATTTATTTATGTGTCCCAGGGCCCCTTCAAATGAAGGGTTCGAGGTTCGAGGTTTGAGGTTAGCGGATCTGTTTGTCCGTTCTCGGTGGGTTTTCCAGCCTCGGAGTGCCATCCAGCAGCTGCGTCTCGCCGAGAGCGCTCCGGGGGTGCCCGGATCGTCCCGCTCAGCCGCCGTGGAGCCGAGTTGTGACCCGAAAGTCCGGAGGCAGTGACAGGGAGGGACAGGCTTAGGGTGCAGCGCATCGACCTCTAATCGCCCATTCGTCGCCGATATGGGGCCTGATAGCCCACCCCGTCCAGGATCGTGCGGATTCGCTACCGGGAGGAGGAGGAGGAGGAGGAGGAGGAGGAGGAGGAGGAGGAGGAGGAGGAGGAGGAGGAGGAGGAGGAGGAGGAGGAGGAGGAGGAGGAGGAGGCGATGTATCGCCGATTCTGGGTCGATGCCCCCCCCCCTTGGCCGGATCCCCTGCAGTCAAGACGCTGAAGCGAGGACTTTTTGTGGGCTCGGGATGGGCTCTGATGTTCTGGCCGTTCCTTAGATTTGAAACGATCGGGGGAGGACAGACCTCCTACCCTGACACGTCGATCAAGGAATTGGCCGTTTTCGATTCGCGAGAGGGCGTTGCGGCCGTCATTTTTGCGGGTCCAGGTCCGTCGGTTTCGGTCCCAGGCCGTTTTCACTACGGGGAGGTTTGCTAAAGGGAGGTTTGTCCACCGCCGAAACGATGGACCTGGTCTGAGTTGCCCGCTGTGAAGGTTTCTGCGAGTACCGCTGCATTTTTAGACGCAGCGTCGCTTGACGCGGACCGTCGCTCGACTCCTCCGCTCCTGTTTCTGAGCGGAGGTCAAGATCGAGTCTACGGGCGACGCGCCTGCGTCCGCCGCCGCTGGGCTCATACGGCGCGCCTCTGACATGTGATCGCCTCGTTCATGAAGGGCCTTCGCTGGCGACGAACTGAAACATTCCTCCTGTCATGCGCCCTCGTAAATATTCCATCCCATGTCACATGTCTCGGCGACGCGCTCACACTTCCAGTTTGGTTGGGCCATGGGAGCGCTGAAGGCGTAGTAGCTGGTGCAGCTGACCATCTCACTGTCGAGTTCTTGGGCGATGCTGCTTCCCCAGACGGCCCAACGAGGCCCACCGGAAGGGGGGCCACGGGCGCGGGCCTCGGGGATTCTTTTGCGAGCGTGCTGGAAGCTCGGGGCTCCGCGCCGCGCTTCCGAGCGCGCCGAGCCCCGGGGGCGCCGGAGGGCGTGCAGGATTGGCCCGCGAGTTCGGGGGCTGGGTCCCTGGCCAGACTTTTCCCGGACTCGGGCCTGCTCTGATGTCTGGTGTGCTTTCCTCAGAGGTGGGTGGGCGTCCCAGGTCTTCGCCACGCTCGCGCCCGTACCCGCCGGTGGGCTCCTCGTGGGCGCTCCGTGCGCCTGGTGGGTTTTCCGAGGTTTCGCCACGTTCGCGCCCGTGCCAGCGCCCGTGCCCGCTCGTGGGCGCCTCGTGGGCCCGCACATCCTACATCGCACGGTTTTCGCCACACACACATTTGTTTGAACAAAAAACAAAAAAATAAAAAACAAACGACAACAGTTTTCGCCACATCACTTACACCGCCTAGCTTGCACAGCATAGCTTTCACCACGTAGCTCGCACCGCATAGCTCACACTGCATCAATCAGCGACATGGCTCACACAACGTAGTCCACACCACATAGTTCTAGCACACTCCACAATACCCACGCCACATAGCTTAAACATCATAGCTCACATACCACAGGCTACACCGCATATCTTCGACCATTTAGTTCACACCGCATATCCCACTCACCTTACACCGCATAGCTTATATTGAATCGCAGTTCTGTGTGCATTCTAATGCTCAGGCGCCCATCTGGCAGGTCCACCATGCCGCGAACGGAAAGGTTCAGAGTGGCAGACCACCATGTCTGACACTCGTTCTGGCGACAGCGGAGAAGCCTTCGGCAGAACAAGCATCGTATGGCTTTGCAGAGATGTCGGCATTGGCAGGAATAATGAATCGCAGCGTGAGTTGACCGTGGGTTTCGTTGCATGTGTGAGCCATTCGACTGCTGCTCGAATCTGGCTGCGCTCTCTCGACTTCGGCCACACGGCGTGTGGTCCTGCCTCTCGTGGGCCTTCGGGCGTCACGTTTGCGCCTCGTCATGCTGGGCACGCTCATGGGTTCATGCATTGCAGGGTCGCGCAGTGTCGACACGGCGGCAACCCCGGCGCGGGCGTTCAAGGCCGGACGCCGCCAGTGGCCGACGCGCGATTTGCGCTGCCGGACAGCCGCGGTCGCTCAAGCTTGCATCGGGGGTGGACAGAACCCCCAACAGTGACACGTCGATTAGTGAATTGTCCGTTTTCGGTTCTCGAGAGGGCGCCGCGGCCGTTATTTTACAGGCTTGCGCCCGCCAGGTTTGGGCCCGAGGTCGTGTTCACTAAACCACGTTTTACTAAAGGCGGGTCTGTCCATCCCCGAAAAGAGTATCTGGCACTGTATTGCTCAATCGCGTGTTGTGCAGAAGCCTGGTACCCAGATCCCCGACGTCATGCTTTTTTCATGACGTGGACCCTCCGAGGTCTGAGCCCATTCCGGGACAGTTTTCTCATCCTGACTCATCCAGAGTTGTTTTTGTTGACGGTCCCAG